GTCATGGAGGTACCGTACTCCTACTGACATGCTTAACCGCATCATAAAGTTGCGGGCACTAGTTGAACTCATCACTAATGAGACAGCAAATACATGTCTGTGGACATGTATATTGTTGTGGACAAATACATTGCTGTGCCAGCAAACCACAAGAATGAGAAACGCCATTTACCCAAGTAGGCTGCCTCCTGGAGAAAGGAGTGTGTGGAAAGTTAAACCTGACAAATTGCTGCCTAGATATTGATGATAATAGAAAGGCCGTTATGGAAATAGCTGCAAGAATTAAATCAACGGCCCATGTTCTAGTTCACACTTAGAAAAAGCAGCCTCCAGATTCTCTCTTGAGAGGCTAGTTTTCATTTTACGGAAGGTTCAAGACTTTAACAGGCGTTGCTCTGGCCATACTAGGAAGTCGCCTAACATGTTTCTTACCTCTCCTTGTCAGCAGCATTCAAGCAACTACAGAGGCAATAGTAGCGAGGCAAACTACCCCTCAGCTAATGCTTTGCATAAATGTCAACCTTTGCCCAAAGAAGAAAACCTGTCTCTTCATTCAGAATTAAGTAATACTGAGGCCTTCCAGTAAACTTCTTTTATAAAAGGCCTCAAAGGAGGGCGGATCACGAGGTCAGGAGATCGAGACCATCCTGGCTAACACGGTGAAACCCCGTCTCTACTAAATATACAAAAAACTAGCCGGGCGCGGTGGCGGTGCCTGTGGTCCCAGCTACTCGGGAGGCTGAGGCAGGAGAATGGCGGGAACCCGGGAGGCGGAGCTTGCAGTGAGCGGAGATCGCGCCACCGCACTCCAGCCTGGGGACAGAGTGAGACTCCGTCTCAAATAATAATAATAATAATAATGATAATAAAAGGCCTCAAAGAGGGGAAGGGAATGAGACAGGAAATTAAATAAAAATAAAATGAAAAAGAAAGAGAAATAGGTTTTCCTGTATTAGGCTGACCTGTCCCAGAGGCAGCCACAGGCACAGGCCAGACCCTGGCAGAGTCTTGATAATATTATCTGCTGTGCTCTGGAGGCTCTCCCAGCACTCCCTCAACACAGCGAGAAGAAAAAAACAGATTTTCCTTAGTTTTATGGAATGAGTTTATAGATTCCTGTTCTCTGTAACTAGTGACTTTACGTATTCTGTTTTATCTAAGAAGTACAACAACGGTCACGTGAAGCCTGAGCAGGCCTGAACTCCAGCTGCCTGGGCACCACAGTGAGGGTTACAGGATAAGCCCGTGCCCAGACAAGCCTAGATACGGACATCTGGGTTGCCTGGCAGCGGTCACGTGCGACCCTGTCTTTGTCTTGCCACTGTATCCCGGCTTTCACGCCGCTGTAAGCGAGCCCTGCCCTTCTGTGAAGTGTGTGTAAAAGTCAGATGCTGTCTTTGTTCTGGGCCCAGTCTTTGTACATGAGTCTGCTGGGCCTGAGTGTACTTAATAGAAGATTCTCCTGTTTTAACGTGAGGTCTCTCTCTCCTCCTCCTGAATCCCACAACAGTGCTGCTGCCACTTCACCTGGGGAGGGTCCTGTTGAGGGTCCAGAGTGTGGTTCTGAGACTAAGCAGAGTGGTCAGTCCCTGCCGTGCCCCTTCTGGCCTCTGTGCAGCTCTTACGGACGGGCGCGTGCTCGTGTGCAGCTCCTGGGGCACCGTGGGTTGGTGGGACGCGGACCCTGAGACCTGCAGCACCTCGCGAGGACGGGAACCCCTCTCCTCCCCCTCGGGCACGCCCCTCACCGAGGCTTCCTGCCCTCCTCTGCCGCTCCCACCCCCTCTTCACCCGCGAAGGGTCCCGATTTCTGTGTCCCCTGGGCCCCTCCCTGGGCAGGGGCTCAGCCTGAATCCAGGATGCTGTCTCTGAGGCTGGGAAACCCACCAGCAGGCCAGGGAGGGCCAGGGCACCCCCCGCACCAAGGTCGCAGCTGGGAGTGTGCCAGCCACACTCAGGACGATTCATCCGCGGAGGCCTCCCTGCCCTGACTGGGACTGACCTCCTTTGGATGAGGGGCCTGATGGCTCAGAGACGAAAAGATCCCAGGTAGAGAGTAGTCCCCTCCTAACGCAAGTGAGAGCAGCCCCCACAACATTTGCCAGCAGAGTCCCCAGATGTCTGGAAAGACGCTGTCCCCACAGGGAAAGAGGAGGAGGCCAACAGGGCTGTTCCCCAGCTCCCACCAGCCCAGGAGCCCGCGGCAGAGCAGGCCACAGGTGACACCTCCATCACCACTCAGGACCTGGTCCCTCCAGATGCCAGCGAATCATCCGCCCCGGCCCATCCTCTCAGTGAGGCCAGAGGCCCCAGGATCCTCACATCCCTCAGTCCTTCCCGAGCAGCTTGTGGCCGTGCACTCGGATCACGGGCCCTGAGGAAAGGGGCATCCCAGACATCTCAGGCCACGCTGGACACAGGGGACAGGCCAGGACCCTGACACAGAAAACATCATCCTGGCCACTGGCCCAAGAGGGACACGGGGAGCCAAGGGATCAGTGGGGCCCTGGCCCAGGGACCCGTCCCCCCAGGCATTTCCCATTCCCAAAATGTGTAGTTGGGAGAAATGGGGGTGGGCACAGCCCCTCGTGCCGTCAGTGGCCTGGCGGGCAGCAGCTATTGCATGGGAGAGAGGCAGGTGGAGTCTCTGAAACTGCTTCCCCTCCCGCCCCAGCTGGGAGAGTCAACCGAAAGCAACGTCTCATCTGGGAAGGGACAGAAGTAAGTGGCACCCTCGGAGCCTGGTGGGTGCAGGGCCCTGGTCCCCGGTCGTCCTCCCTTTCTTAGCAGTCTGGCCCCACAGGACCCAGGGTCCCCAGCGGGTGGAGGGGATTGGTGCAGACCAACCCAGTGTAGCCCAGTGGCAGCTGACCGCCGGGTGGAGATCAAGTCGGCCTGGAGGCTGGGAGGTGTGGACACTGATCTGGCAAATGCAATCTTTTCTATTCTGTTGCCAAAGATGGACAGGGAACACCACGCGAGCCTGCGGCAGAACCGTGCGCCACCAGCAGGGCCCTGTCAGACCCACTGAGTAGAGCAGGTGGTGGACCAGCACCAATGCCTCCTCCCAGCATGGGATCAGAGCACGCGGATGGAACAGGCAGGCTGCCCTGACCGGGTCCTGCACCACTTTTTCCCAAGGCTTGTCCCTCCGTTCATGTCCAGGGCTGCAGTGAGAATCCCAGGGGACCAGAAGATGGAGGAGACAGAATTCAGAGCCTGGGGATCCATGCGTCAGCCGTGGGTGAGGGAGCAAGTAGGATCTCGACGGCACTGAACTCCACTCGGTGAGGGGAGCTTTAGACCATGGTGTCCCCATGGCAGGGCCAGACACAGAAGCCAGGCCATCCTGTGTTGCAGGGAGACAAGGCCCGGGATAGAAGGCGAGTGGAGGCCTGGACATGGCTCCTTAGAACATACTCTGTCCGGCAGAAAGAAGAGCACTTAGGCAGCTGGGCCTGAGGACTGACTCCTGCAAGTCGGCATTTAGTATGAGACGTTAATATTTTACTACGTGGTGGCGGGGAGCGGTGGCTCAAGCCTGAAATCCCAGCACTTTGGGAGGTCGAGGCAGGTGGATCACAAGGTCAGGAGTTCGAGACCAGCCTGGCCAATATGGTGAAACTCCATCTCTACCAAAAATACAAAAATAAGCCGTGGTGACGGGCACCTGTAGTCCCAGTTACTCAGGAGGCTGAGGCAGGAGAATCACTTGAACACGGGAGGCAGAGGTTGCAGTGAGCCAAGATGGCACCACTGCACTCCAGCTTGGGTAACAGGAGTGAAACTCCATCTCAAAAATAAAAAAAAATTATACTATGTGGGCCAGGCGCGGTAGTTCACGCCTGTAATCCCAGCACTTTGGGAGGCCGAGGTGGGCGGATCATGAGGTCAGGAGCTCGAGACCACCCTGGCTAACACAGTGAAACCCCTTCTCCACTAAAAATACAAAAAATTAGCCGGGCGTGGTGGCAGGCGCCTGTAGTCCCAGCTACTTGGGAGGCTGAGGCAGGAGAATGCGTGAACCCGGGAGGCGGAGCTTGCAGTGAGCTGAGATCTGGCCACTGTACTTCAGCCTGGGTGACAGAGCAAGACTCCAACCCAATTAAAAAAAAAAAAATTATATTATGTGAATACAATCACTGCTGCGTGGCCTGGAAAATATCCCGTAGCAAAGGTGTTCAACATCAAGACACACTGTGAGTTGTTGGTTATTACAGCCACTGTTAAATCTTATAAATTTTATAAATTATCAATAAAATTTATCCTATAGAGCCAAAGTCATCATTACTCAAACACATCACTCTGCAATTACACGGCTGCACGCTACTGTCATGTGAGCTCCGGAGGTCACTGATGTGGACCTGACCACCCGCTGCGGTGAAAGGCTACAGCAGGGTGAGCAGCCGCCCATCTCTGTAAGTTCCACCTGCAGCGATGTCCTCTGGGGAGTCTGGCCTGGTGGGCAAAGGAAAATGGGCCCATGTGGCACATCAGGAATTAAACAGGTCGCGCTGCACACAGGCCTGCAGGCCACGCTCCTGCCCCTGTGACCCCTCCCCTGCCAGCCCTGCCCACACTGCCCCCTCTGACCAGCCAAGTGCACAGCATCAGCTCAGTTTGCCGCAGTAGCCTCTGCCAAGGAGGGTCCAGGAAGAAACCCAGAGGCCACACAAGGTGTTTCCACAGGGAGGACATAACCTCAGGAGCTGCTCAGAGGTACAAACCGGTTCATGAGAAAAACAGGTGGCAACTGCAGGAAGCAGCTGGCACCCGTGTGAGGACCCAGGGAAGAGGCAGAGATGATCAGAACCTGGAGATCTGGAGGGCGCCCCAGGGACCAGACACCCAGAGCTCTGGGCAGCGTGGGTGCCGCTGGGCCGCGTGGAGCGGGTCTGGGAGCCTTCACCCAGGTGGGCCTCCAGGGTAAAGGGCCATGGCTCCTAACTCCACCATCCAGGCCTCTGCCACTGGCATCCCACAGCCCCCTCTTCCGTCAGTGCTCCCCAGAGTCCCCGTTCCTGGGCCTGGAGGGCTCCTTTGGGACAGGAAGCACTGGCCGCCAGGCCTCTGACCTGCACCAGGAGACACGGGGACCTTTAGCCCCCACACCCGCACGGAGCAGGACTGCAACCCCAGGAAAGGACAAGGCATTTCAGCAGATGAGGCCTGTGACAAGTGAGGCGAGGGCTTTGGGGGAACTGCTGTGGGACCTGGCGTGTGGAGGCACCAGCACAGGCCTGGCAGGAGCCCTGAACCGGAACAGTGAGGTCCTGCAGCTGCTGGCCTGCGGTGTGGAGACTCCCAACGTAGGGGAAGTCTCCAGGACCCCCACACCCCTAACAAGATGAGAAATGTGCTCACTTGGGCTCTAGAGAGGAAGCCCCTCAGCCCTCAGCCCCTCCTTCCTCCCCGTCCTAAAGTAATTTGATCCTCAGGAATTTGTTCCGCCCTCATCTGGCCCCTGCCAAGTCCCAATTTGACAAATGCCAGGAAAAGGAAATGGTTGAGAAATCGAAACTACTGGGGAAAGGGAGGGCCCACTGAGAACGATCCCACTAACCCGACCACCGCAGGCTTTCGCAGGACACCATGAACCACACGGTCCAAACCTTCTTCTCTCCTGTCAACAGCGGCCAGCCTCCCAACTATGAGATGCTCAAGGAAGAGCACGAGGTGGCTATGATGGGGGCGCCCCACAACCCTGCTCCCCCGACGTCCACCGTGATCCACATCCGCAGCGAGACCTCCGTGCCCGACCATGTTGTCTGGTCCCTGTTCAACACCCTCTTCATGAACCCCTGCTGCCTGGGCTTCATAGCATTTGCCTACTCCGTGAAG